AGTATATTTGGGTAATCCCTCAAGGTTTCGAGGATAATCGTAACAATATCAAAAATACTTGTAACTAATGTATTCTGCTGATATGAAGTATTCAAGTTTCAATTCATTAGATATTTTGATAAGCAAAGAAATGTCTGGTAACGCAGTTGAAAGTGGAACTTTCTGCTGTTTCATCGTCGCCGGGGATTCGGAATCTTGTATTACATCATTCTTGCTACCATATAGTGTTAATGTGGTAGATTTCAAACCTTGAGTGGTAGATGTGGTAGATACACAAAATGGTGGCAGATCTATCACAATGTGGTAAAAGTCCGATCACTGTATTGGACCTATTATGTTGTACTCAGCTACCGAATAACAATATGAAACCGGTTTTTATCACCCACCTACTCTTTCATTATATGCTATTTACAGGGTGGCCTTTGACGTTATTCTCAATGTATACCCAACACCCAGAGAAACCCTCTTATTTAGATATATCGGTAAAGATTCAATCGTAAGACCCCTTTCAGCCACGTCAAGTCTTGATTTCAAGTCTGCTCGTTCGTAGACGAAGGAGGTGAGACGAATGTACTCTTCCCCTCTCTCCCCACCTCCATTGCCTACGAACCGAGCGGACTTGAAAGCAAGACTTGACGTGTCTGAAAGGGGTCTCACACAAACTTGTTACTGGGGCCGGGTAACTCATTGTATTTTAGCGAGTTAACTCAATAACTCAAGCTCCTATTAATGAGTCAGCTCAGTGAGGTGGCACAATTGAGCTATGGCACTCTGCTGTCGAGGCAACACAGCCTAGAGTTGGTTAGCGCTGTTGTTAGCACTGTTCAGCTGATGAGCGCTATAGAGCTGGTTTGCACTATAGAGCTGTTCAAAGCAATTTAGTTGATATGTTGGGTGGAGCTGATGAGCACTGTAGAGCTGGTTTGCACGGCGAATTGTAAATTTTTACAACTACCGACTATGTGGCGAATATTTATTGAGTTACTGAGTCATAAGTGACTCCGAGAGTGGGGCACACTGCTGGGAGGCAGTTCAATAGCTTCTCTCAGCGCTCATTTACCCATCTCTACTTATTACCAATAGGAGTGTACTCGTACGCCCAACTATCTAAAGTTTTAGAAAACTTTTACTGGTTTTGCGTTCTCGT